GTCCAGACGCAAGACTCTCAGTAGAAACGGACAAACTGGTTGACGGGATTACGAATGACGGATTTGTAAATTCTTGGACAACGCCTCTGTTCTCTTGTTCAAGTGGAAAAGTTAGTCCCGTATGAGTGTCAGGTAGCTGGTCGCTTGTAAGGATGCCAACGGCTCTTGCACAATGACGGCAGCGCATTGGCCAAAACACTTCTTGAGCCTGATGGTGCATAGTTTTACCCCGAATGAATCGAATCATGATGATATCACCTACCAGTACGATAAGGATATACCCCGCACTTGCGAACAAGTCAACCACATCCTTTACGACGGGTGTAGCGTCAAAATGGCTGGCAATAAACGAGGGAAAAACATTAAAACTAATCCCCAAACTGACAACGAAACAAATCACCAACGTTGCGTCGAATGGTGCTAATTGTGCAAATTGTTGATCCATTTTTGTTGTAATTTGAAGATGAGATTTCTGTCGTAATATATGTAACACGTTTACGATAAAAGCCTATCTCAATTACTTGCAAATTAAAAGGCAAATAAGGTCCACCTTTACTCTTTGAGTTTTGTCAAGTGTTAGGTTCTGTGGATTCGATCTTCCCACAAGGGAATCTTAACATAATTACATGGACTTTAGCCTTAGAGGAAGTGTTGTGGTCATGTGGTAGTGAAACATGGACTTAAGCCTTAGAGGAAATCTCGTGGTCATGTGGTAGTGAAACACGGTCTTTAGCCTTAGAGGAAGTGTCGTGGTCATGTGGTAGTGAAACATGGACTTAAGCCTTAGAGGAAGTATCGTGGTCATGAGGTAGTTTGGAAAGTTGCGAAATGTGATTTTAAGAAGAATGATGAAAATCCCCTGGACTGACAAAGTTAGTAATGAGGGAGTTCTTACACGAGCTGGAGTGCAAGGGAAAATGATACGTGAGATGTTGATTAGGCAGTTGAAGTTCATGGGTCACATTACACGTAAAAAAGGCCTAGAGAATCTTGATTTGACAGGGAAAACTGTGGGAAGAAGGAGTAGGGGAAGAAGGAGGACACTTTGGATGGACAGTCTGCAGAAATTGTTGGAAGAGAGAGGGGTAAAAGAACTGGAAGGGGTACTAATACAGAAGGCTAGGCAGTTGACAGAGGACCCCCCCCCCCCCAAAAAAAAAAAAAAAATGTGCTCACTGGATCCGCCACTGTATTTACCTGTTCTCACATTTTTGTAGGTAGGTCAAGCCATAATGTTTGTTCTACCTGGCATATGATACAGTGTTAGTACATTATATTCATTAACTATTAAAAATCAAAAGAAATCTTGATGAACAGTTTCTCTTTGGGTCTTAGGTGTAGATGGACTCCATTCTTCCTTATCATTCAGTGATTTGGTCACCACCTTCATTATAATATCGAGTGTTCAGTGACTAAAAGACGTAACTCCATATTTTGCCAAAATGATTCAGAAAAATGTGGGCGTTGTGGCGTGCGCCTGTAATCCAGCTAACAGTGGAAGTTAAAAACTGATTTAGCCGAGGACGCAGGTCACGTTTTTCGAATGGTGACGTTATGGTCGGTCCCCAGACGTGAATAATTATATCTGATTGATACACGTCTGTAAAAACCCAATACACACACGTGGGTTTTCCAGGAAACACAAATACCTCACGCAACCGTGACACCCATTGAAGTCAATGGCCAGTGACACATAAACCACTTTTTCTCAAGATGGCCAAAATGGAGTTACGTCTTTGTGTCACTGACCCCTCGATGTATCCTCTTCATTCTCCTTTTCAAGGCGAGTCCGACTCGGTGAAGGATCTTCTTCAGAACCCCCACCTAAGGGTGCTTATTACACAGTTGGATATAAAGCAGAGGAGAAGGCTAAAGCTATAGAGGGCGCCATGCAGGAGCCAAAATCTGTGGAGTTTGCAGATGCCTGCCTTGCCACTATTGCAGACAGGTGCGGATCCAGGTTTTCTTGGGGGGGGGGGGGGATTTGAAATGATGGGAGCCAAATATTGGTACGTAATGGTGACCAGCAGTGGCGTAATGAGCACAAAGTTTTTTTTTTCTTTCTTTTTAGGAGGGGGGGGGGGCTAAAGTATTTACGATCAGGTAGAGCGTAGCATAAATTGGCGTGGGACAAGGGGCGGAGCCCCCGGAAGCTCAGGGGTATGGGCACTTAATTACAGTCAGATGAGCATATTTTGATACCTTGCTTTGTGACACTGGCAGGACACTAATTGGCGTGGGGTCCAGGTGGCGAAGCCTCCGGAAGCTTAGGGGTTTTAAGGCATTAAATAACCAACAGAATAGAATCTGGGAGTCCGCCTTAGGGCCTTAGGTGGGGTCCAAGGGGATGGAGCCCCGAAGCTCAGGGGTTTTAGGCAATCAATTACGGCCAGATGAGCGTCTAGGGGCCGCCTTAGGCCCATTGGTTAGGTTTAGGGGCCAGAGCCCCCGGAAGTTCGGGGATTTTAGGCATTTAATTGCGGTCAGATGAACATATTTTGATACCTTATTTGTGACACTGGCAGGACACTAATTGGCGTGAGGTCCAGGGGGCCTAGCCCCAGAAGCTCAGGGGTTTTGGGCATTAAATTACCGTCAGATTAGCATCCAGGGGTCCGCCTTAGGGCCCTAGATGGGGTCCAGGGAGCAGAGCAACCGAAAGTTCATCGGGTTTAAGGCATTTAATTACGGTCAGATGAACATTTTTTGATACCTTATTTGTGACAGTGGCAGGACACTAATTGGCGTAGGGTCCAGGGGGCAGAGCCCCCAGAAGCTCAGGGGTTTTAAGGCATCAAATTATCGTAAAATGAGCATCCAGAGGTCCGCCTTGGGGCCCTAGATGGGGTCCAGGAAGCAGAGCCACCGAAAGTTCTTCGGGTTTAAGACATTTTATTTAGGGGGGGCAAATTCCTCCCGCCCCCAGATCTACATCTTGTTGGCGGGAAAATCGCAACTGATCTCCCGTACCTTTCTTCTTTCTCTTTTTTTATTTCCCTCCTCTCCTCTTTCCTTCTCGCTCTTTCAGGTTTGCTGGGGGGAGGCAAGGGTTTTTCGCCCCCCCCCCCCCCCACGATCCACACGCTGTTGGCGAGATTAATCGCAACTGATCTCCCCTTCTTTTCACCCTTTTCTTTTCTTCTTCCTTTTTTGGTTCCCTTTAAGCTCTCCTCTTTCCTTTACCTTCCTTCTCTCCCTTTTTTGGTGGGGGCGGGGAGAGGAAAGGCAAGGGCCTCCCCTCCCAATCCACAACTTGTTGGCGTGAAATTGCAACTTATATCCCCTTTTTTTCTTTTCTTCTTCCTCTTATTTCCTTCTCTTTATTTCCTCTTTCCCTGTTTTCTATCCCTTTCTTTCCTTCTCTCCTATTTTGTTGATGGGGGGGGGGGAAGGCAAAAGCCGCTGGAAGGCAAAGCCCTTTCGCCCCCCCCCCCCGATCTCCTTCTTCCCCCTCTATTTTTTCTTTACTTCTTCCTCTTCTTTCTTTCCCTTTCTCTCCTCTTTCCCTTTCCCTTCTCTCTCTCTCTCTTTTGCGGGGGGGGGGGGGGGATGGTAGGGGGCAAGGCCCGCTCAGCCCCCTGGATCCGAGCCTGATTGCAGACAGATGATATTTTTGTTGATGTCTCTGTGGACTAATTTTTACAGAAATGCAAGGAACGAGTGAGGGACAGAAAGGATATGAGATATAACATGCTATTCAATAGTCGGTACCAGTGTGTTAACTCTGAAACTAAAGGTTGATTTTTATAGTTTCACAGCTGGGGAGAGGCAGATTTGTATGTGAATCATCGATGTCACCAGAAGGGGGAAGGTATGGCAGGTTGTCCTATTATCATATTTCCCCTTCTCACTTTCTGTCTCTCCCAACAGTTTTTTGTATACATTTTATTTTTTACGATCAGTTTTTGATCAGTTTTTTAGCTTATGAAAAAAGTGATTGTAAACTTATTGCAAAGCGTGCTGTCCACAAAATATTGTGACAAACTGAATCGACCCGTGTTATATTCTAGAACCATTCTACCATTTCCCATGTTCAATGAAGTACCATTTGTTAAATATTTTTTTCATTTGACGCAGTCTCTACCACTGATTATTTTCTTTAATGTCTCTTCAGTTGAGTTGATGTTGCCAAATTGTGTTAATCTCTTTAGATATGGCGTATTAAATATTAAATATATTATTTTAAAACCTGTCATAAAATTCTGAAGTTATTTATTTCTAAAGTAGGAGACGAGACTCATCGATAATAGGGACTTTTAGATTTGCGTGGACTGATACGTGGGACATCCATTCAAGGCAGTGCATTAAAAGGACGTCGACCGTAGAAATCCCCATCGTCTTCGTGCGAATCTAAAAGTCCCTAATATAGAGGCTGCTTACGACACGAAAGTGGAGAGGAAAAAGAGCAAGATAGTGACAATAAGATAGTGGAGAGGAATGAGAGAAATAGTGAGAAGTAGGAGTGGAAAATAAAGAAACGGTACCCCTCTTTATGTTCTTTGGTCTCAACAAATGGGACTAAGGTTCACATCATCTGGGCTTCAAAAAATGAAATTTGTAGCTCATTGCTTTGAGCAGAATGAAATTTAAGTCATTAAAATATAATTTCGAATTCACCATCAAGAAATGCTTAGATTGTTGCATATAAATTCTTGTTTTTCTTTTTGTCAGAATTGTTTCTCTTTACATTCAACTCTCATAACATTAAAATTCACCTGTAATCAGAAATTCTAAACAATACTTCCTCGCAATCAAATCGGAGACTTTACTATTCCACATCACAAATCTTCTAGATCACTTATAACCAATCATCAATCATGAAAACGCTCACCAAAACCGACCATGAGGTTATACAAATATCCAAGAAAACATTGATCTTGCAGTTCAAAGAGGTTGTTTTATTTCCGTACTAAAATAAAGATTCATGATTGTATCACGATATTCAATTATTTTTCTGATTAGTATGGGCTGCATCGTTGTACCGGAAGCCGGGTCGTTCCGTTTTAAACGAGAACGAAGTGTTTTTGTGGCGGGAGAATGACCCGGTCGATGACCTGGATCACTCCGTTGGTTGTGGGGATATCACGTGCGATCACTCGGGAAGCTTTTGACTGGTCACTCTGCTTGTTCAGGAGAATTTGATCTGTAAGAGAAGTAGATCAACGAATAAATATGGTGTAGAATTTAATTACATAGAAGTACAAATGAAATATGTTAAAAAATATTAGTGGACAAAGCCGACGGTCTTTAAAATAAATGTTTCTTCATTCTAGTGTAGCATTACCCGAGTAAATAAAAAACTGAATCTTGAAATGTGTATAATATCGAACATACATATATCATAGTTGAAGACGTTATTGCCCTTTGCGACCGACCCAAAAATTTTAAATCTAAGGTTGGCTTTTTATTTTAAAAATTTGTACCGTTTTATGAAAAATGTATATGCGTATTAAAGCATTAAAAACTGAAAAATTATCAGCCCAAAGGGGGAAGTGATATTTAAAAAAAAAAAAAAAAAAAAACCGACCGACCCAGGTTCTGTCATTAAGGGCAAATCTTTGTGTCTTAACTTTTCTTTAAGAAAAAAAGTAATATTCATTTTAAATTATATATTCCCTTTCCGAGATTCAAAAAGTGATATGTTTCTCCCTACCCCCCCCCCCCACCTTTCTTCCAAATACTTATACGGCCGCAAGTGATATGTTTTAATGTGTTTATTAATGAATTTAAAAAAGGCTTACCATCACTGTCGCGGGCAACCGTAATCTCATCTCCCTGCGAGGCACGGAGGCGCTGACCAGACGACAGAGAGACAGAATACTTGACGTCTGAGATCACGTGGTACTTGAGCAGGTTGCGGAGTTTGCCGGCGGGGTCCTTTTTGAGGTCGTCGAGGACCCCGGATGGGAGGGCTTGGAAGGCGGCGTTGGTCGGCACAAGAACCGTAATGGGGTCAGAATCTGTGATAGAGAAGACGAATATCAGAATTAGGCTTTGCGCTTAATTATATCCTTTGGGAAGATATTAATTTGCACTTGCTACTCTTCACCCAGGTGTTAAATGGGTACCCGGTAGGATGCGACAGTCAGTGTTGGTTAAACAGTTTTTGAGCGCGAAGTAACGCCTGGCTGTAATGCCGCTCGATCCCCAGGGAGTGGAAATTGTGCGCACGGACAAGTATGTAATCCAGTGACCGGGGTAATAGTATCTGTAAAGTGCTTAGAGACATTGTTGATTTAGTAAGCGCTATATAAAAGCGGAATACTATTATTATTAATCGTTATCTTTTTAAGAGGAAGGAATAACGATTTTGGAAAGATATATCACCAGTTTATCGAGAAATATTCACTATCCTGCTGTACTCGGCACCATGTTAAAAAAAGAAGAAGTGGGTCCCAAATCATTTCAGTATTACATATGCGTATCTGATCTTTTACTGACATTTTGAAAACTATAATTTGAAATCCCGTCACTATAGAAATTTAAGGCCTTACGATTACCCTCCCCAAAAAATAAATCATTCAAAGAAGCAAATTTACTTCTAAGTTCATCCTCGAGTCCGGCTTGTTTCAGGAGATCGACGACCATGGAGAAGGCTTTGTTGTCGTCCAGGGTCTCCATTACGTTACCGACTGGGAGTGGATAGATGACCTTGTCGACTACGTGGATGAGTCCACTGCTAGCTTTTCTGTCGGCGTCAACGACTCGAGCGCCATTAACAGTGATCATCTGTAAAGGAATAACATACATAGGTACTCGAATACATCATCAGATGGGGGGGGGGGGGGAGGGGGAGAGACATTGTGTTGTACGTACATTTTTCCATTCGTGTATTTTATATAGATGGGTACGAATAGACAAGTTATTTGTAAAACATTTTTTTTTAATTTGCAATGCCTTGCAGACTTTTCACCGAGACTGACCCTTTGCCACATAGTACGACGTGCATATTTGCGTATAATCACATGTGCATTTCTGAATAAATAAATTTTGTAGCTTAAGTAAAAAAAAAAATGAAACAAGTTGTGGAAACCTTCATAAATTAAGGGCATTATTTTGAACGAAATAGGTGTATCTGAACAGAAAATATTGCAGGGAAATCTTCACTGGTTAACAAAATTTAGCAGAAAGTGTTTCCTTCAGACTTTTGTATATATTTTCTGGTTTTCATTCCTTGACATAATTCCAATACTAGATTCCACAAATAGAAGAGTAAATTAAAACTTACCTTCTTCGAGTCACGTGCGTAGACGTTAAATCTTAGCTTGGCGCCGTTCAGACTCTGGACCTTTTGGTTGTCGCTGATCTGCGAAGACTCGACCCTTCCTGAAACGACCCAAGCCTTGACCAGGTTCTTCATGGCCTCCTGGTCTGGTCTCAGTTTAGCAGGAAGCTCCTGCCTCCACTTCTGGACAGCCTTGTCACTGGGCATGCACAATGTGACAGATGCTAAACGAGGAAGAAAAAAAAGATACGAGAAGTTAAATATACAAAGTATAATAAAGATTAACAGAAGTTTAGGATATAACATCTAAATTTACAATGGACATAAAATTAGCTCACATATTCCATAAACGATCGGTCGAGCAATACTTGATTATACACCAATGAACATTCATTTGGGCAAAGTGAATCGAGAAGTCGTGAAACATTCAAACCTAATAATGGAGAAATATATCGTGGGCTTCTGAAATTCCCCTGAAAGTTCCGTTTTTAAAACTTTTTTCTACTTTATTAGCAGTGGGGAAATGCCTTTGTCGAGTAAACTATAAAGCATTGCAACTGGTGAATATCCAAATTACAACTGGTATAGTAATGAATTTATAAATCGGAAACAGCAAACGTATTAGAACGCAAAATCACTTTCGTTTTAAAGGAATTAGCTAGCTCAAAATTCAGTTTAGGAAAACGGCACACCAATATAGGGTATGCTCTTGTGGGCTCCACAATTGTGTTTCAAGGTAAAATACTGAAAATTGTGTAGGGTAACTTACAAAGGTCACTGTCTCGGAGAACCTGCCTCAGGTCAACCTGCTCTGCGATGTTCGCTGCCTCACGAAGCCCCAGAGCCCTTAGCCTTCCAACGATGTCCTCATCGACTTGATTGTCGCTTCGGTTGAAGGACACCATCGAGTCCGCCGGGAACATCTTTCTCAGGAACTCCTTAGCCGAGATGGCCTTGTTCTGCTGGTTCTGTTCGGCGGGCGAGAGAACCATCGGATTGGCGATGGCTACCCCGACAAGGACGGCTAAGAAAGCGATGAGAGACTGCATGGTTGAGCTGTAGGATGCTTGGTAGTATTGCAGAGAAGCAGAGAGACCTTCTACAAGCTAGGAGGAATGACAAGGTGTGGCTATAATATAAAAAAAACACCAGTATTTATACCTTTCCAGCTCAAAACCCGCATGCATACCATAAAAGACCGTTTGAATAGAATACGCAAACAAGTTCTCCCCGAGTACTTATTGCATTCACCTGTTACAAATCAATTATACTTTGATAGCCGGAATGCAGACTGCATATATTGGTTGTTGCTATGTCGGTAAATGATTTGCTGAACTTTATGGTAATTTACAGGTCAGTTCACAAACGTTTCAAACTTGTATGCATGCATCTGCTATTGTTACTATAGCGACGACCACAAAGCTTGACATGAGCTTGTCTGACATACTAAAACATAATGGATGCTCTACCTCTTATCAACCAGAGTCGTAGCGAATAAAAGAAAACATTGAAAGCATTCAAATAAAGCGTAGGCCTACTTCAAATATTCAAACAAGTTCTTCCCCAATTACATTGACCTCTTAGCACTATGAACATGACGGACAAAGAAAGAGGATATACAGTTCTTCATTCTACCCTCAACAATAGCTGAGGTAGACAAAAGAACATCCTCTTCACTGCTATTATCATGTAAACATTTGTAGAACAGGTAAATATGCATGTGACACCTGTCCTACACATTTTTACATAATGGCAGGGAAGGAATGTTCCTTCGTCTACCAGAGGAACTGTATAATCTGTCCTTTGTCTTTGTCCGTCATGTTCATAGTGTAGGAAGCAATGTACTTCAATAGTCGGAATGCAGATTTATTACATTATTTGTTGAGTTTTCTGAATAACCTCTGGTAAGCTAAAGGGTAATCAGCAGGTCCGCTCATTGCATTCCAATGTATTGCGATAGGCTATTTTTGTAATGTAGGCCTAACCAAATTTATGGGCATACGTCTTTGTGAAGTGCCTCGATACAAACTATTTCATTCACCTGATAAGAATAATAGTATCTCAATATATAGACATGATCTGAACTGCAAACATCAGTTGTAATTGCCAGGTAGGACAAAAAGTGTGGATTGCCCTACCTAGCAACACTTGATATACGCAGTTTGCATTCTGACTATTGAAATACTATTATTCTTATCAGGTGAATGAAATAAAGCACTTCACAAATACTATGTGTTATATTTGGTTACATTACGGAAATGGCTTAAAAGTCTTGAAATGTTAGAAATACACTTATATAGGGATTTTTTTAAATATCCACATTCAGTGTTCAAAACAGGAATGAAATTAGCTTAAATTTTCAAATATTTGGATAGCGGCAAGAAGAATAACGCGCAAATCAATATAACCTCAGAGGAGTAATTCTTTATAATTTTATGTGTTCTTCACTTTTCCAAAGAGATCTTTTATATTGATTCCAAAAAGTTAAATATCATCTTGAACAGTTTTTTTTTTATATATATATATTTTTTTTTTTGACAGCTCAATTATTATGGAAAACATTCTGAGTAGTTGGAAAATTCAAGTAACTTTTTCCTCCTTCTGTTTCAATGAAGAAATAAACCAATTTTCAAAATTTATTCAAATGTATACACGTTTAACGAAGAGCCCCTGTTAATATTATTGTATAACAAGAGTCAGAATGCAAATTGCATACATTATTTGTTGGTATAGGTCGGACTCCAATACTGGATTGCCCTACCTATCATCAATCTGACTATATTCGAAACAGGTACATGAAAATGATTCGTTAAGGGGGTATCTTACTTAGCGACGAATGCTTACGAACGTTGCTATCAGGGTTCGCCTTTGCGATATTTAGCGACTTTTAATAGCGACAATTAATAACATTTGAGCGTATGTTTGCGAAAGGCAGGTTAGCGACTATGAGCGACTGTAAGCAAATGTTAGCGACAGTTTTTGCAAAGATTAACAACTATTTGCCAATCCTTTGCCACTATTTGTGAATGTTTTGGGACCTTTTGCTAACTTCAGGTACACAGTGGGTCAATTTTATATAGGAACCATATGGTAACGTGGTCGCTAGCATTGGTGAATCAAAAAAGAACTTCATCGACACCCGTTTGCAACCGTTTGCAAAGGCTTACGATTGTTTTGCAAACGCTTGCAACTGTTTGCGAGAAAAAAAAATCGCAAAGAAAAACTGATTGCAACAATGAAAACAGTTTGCAAACCTTCTTGCAACATCTTACGAACCTTTTGCAACCTTTTACGAACCTTTTGCAACCTTTTACGAACCCCACATTCGCTACGTTCGCAAGCATTCGCCGCTCAGTGAGATACCCCCTTAACGAGGCTCTTAAAAAATAAGTCTGGATTAAATAGACCATTTTCGTAACGTGATCGAATTTCATGCATTAATCTTTGTTAAGTGGCTCGTTACAATTTATTTCATTCACGTGTTATGAATAATGAATGAAAAGATTCGAAGAGAGGCTCTTAAAAAAAGAAGTATGGATCAGGGAGGTGAAAGAAAAGGAGACGAAACTCTTGCAATTTATTCAAACGCATTCTTGAGTTCTAAAGCATAACAATGGGATGTGTAACATTCCACTTGGCTTTGAAGTTCCATGCTCCGAACCGCGCTTCCACTGCGAAGACTTTCGGAAGCCTGGCACCAGTTTTACATTTATTACAAAATATTAAATTACCGGCAAAATTTCAGTGTAAATCAAAAACTTTATATGGGAATTTTATTGGGAATAGTACATCAAACAAATTTTCAAATTTAGAACTCCATCCTTCCTTTCATTATTTTGTGTGCCAGAGTTGGTAAAAGAAAAATTACATCTTGTCAAAAACTCAATATTTTAGGATGATGCGCCAATTTGTGCATGCTTTAATGTCCCGTTATTTGGTCCATGATTTACAATCTGCTAATGCGTGTTTTCGCGTGTTTTTTTTGTATTTTTCAAGTTTAAAAAAGGATGAAATTACACAAGTTTGTGTTCGCTTGTTCTACTCTTTACACATTCAACAATGGATGAGAAATCATTGGAAGGGACAGCGAACAGTTGCTGTGATACCATTTTCTGATGTAGGAATTCTAAATCCTGAAATGTCATGCGCTCTCTTATCTCGCCACCTGGTCAACAGTTGAAGATTAGCGCATAACTTTTCGGCGGCTTGGAGCATGGGGTCAAAGGAGAGCGGCTTGATCCAAGTCCTTCTCTATCACGTCCCTGTATGGATTAAATAGCCCATTTTCGTAACGTAATCGAATTCAATGCATAAATCTTTGTGGCTCGTTGCAAGTTATTTCATTCACCTGTTATGAATGATTGTATTTCAATAGTCAGAATGCGAATGATTGCATACAGTATACGTGTAGTTAAGTAAGACAACCAATAATGTTTGTCGTACAAAGCAACAATTAATGTTTGCAATTCGCATTATTTTTTACTATAGGATTTCTCGGCGAAATACGCGAGTTTGTCATTCGAATTCATTTTACTTTGCATTTAAGTTAGCGCAGATCGGCTTTGCCATGCCAATTATCGTTCAATTTTCCCGTTTTGTTATTTAATTTAGGATTTTGGTCGAAGGGTTTCATAGATCTGTCATTTAATTAAGAAACTGCTCAACTAGCATTCAAATTAATCGTCACTTGTCGAGGCGCCATTTTTATCATTCAAATATTATTAACACCTGTCATTCGTATTCGAATTATGTTTATTCAAGTTAGGAAGGTTAGGGGGAAGAAATGCAACACACGTTTACAGTTTTAAAACAATGCAATTAAATGCATGACTTGCTATTAGTGTCTTTTCTGCTATTCCATTTATTAATTTTGAGGACAATGCATATGGGTGTAGTTAGACATTAGGTAAAGAAGGGGCGAAATCAAGCGATATTGCATTTCTGCACGGACATGTTCATACACCCCGGAAAAGGGGGGATACAAAAATACCTACCCCAGTTACAATATTGTACCCTTCCTCAATAATGAAATTGTGATAAATTTTTGATGAAACACAAGACAAACAACTTTCTTACATGAAAATTTACGAAGATATTGAGACAAGTCCGTAGATGTAAGTCGTTTTTTTTCTTCTTAACAATCAAACTTAAAGGATGATAAATATCAGATAAATCTAAAAGTATATAAAGTGTATAAATGCAAGAAAAGGAAATATGATGAAACACACATGGAAAACAAATCTTGAAAGAAAAAGAACTGATGAGCTATAAAAAGTGTTTAATAAACGAGAAGTGTATATTGACCATCAATTTAAGTGCACAAAGTGCTAATTTGAATGCTACAAATGAATTCGAATGCTAAAAGTACACCTTCGCGATGTCAGAAATCGTGTTACGCCAAATCGAATGACCAAATAGCGAAAGGAGCACATTATTCATTCATTTGAATGAAACATATATATTCTAACGAACACTTCATAGATTTGAAATCTAGAAAAAGGAATACAAACCCAATTATGTCTGACAGCACTAAAACCGTCGAATTTGAACGCAAGACAAGTTAATCTAAATGACAAACTCGCGAATTTGGCCGGAAAATCCTATATCAAAATACATTTTGTTCGTAGTAACAGGTAAATTAAAGATTTTGTAACGAGGCACTTAACAAAGACTTATGCATTAAATGTGAATACATTACGATAATGACATATCCATTGGTATTATTAATTGCTGTTTCATTTCATCAATGGAAAACATAAGCGAAATCTTATGAAAATTGCAATGCTAAGCTAAAAAAAAACGATACCGTTTTGGCTTTATCATATCGTTGTTCTCCCAGACCCCTCCCCCTCCCCCTCCTCCCCCAAAACACCCGCAAAACAAACACGGGTTCAAGGATTTGTGTCAATTTATAATAGCACTAAACTCTAAAAATAAGATACTCATTAGCGCAGCCTACGCTACACAGATGATCTAAAATCTCCTTAAATATCACATGACTTTGTGTGTGCTATTATAGCTGCATTACTATCGCCTGTCAAGTTAAATTTTTGAATAATAATAATAATGTCTTTTCTAAAATTTCGTCAGATTTATCCTAATCCATTCACCCTTTCGATCCTTAAGCCAGAGCTATTT